GTATCAGCTTTTAGCAAAACTATTAAAATATGGTGTCAACACCAAATGGGCAGTAGACAGAGTGAAGTTAGCTCTAAGCTAGTAAGCTAATCTTTGGGCCCAACATTAGTTGTAAAATTGACATTAGCTCAAATTGACTATAGTATTTTTTAATCACCTACATCTATCAAATTAGCCCAACACCAAATTGCTGATAACTCAAGTATGACCAGCAAATAAAAGTATTATCATGAGTAAACCTCGGAACAGCAAGATTACAACATCATCAGCTAGCTAGCTAATTAGTGGTTTTACTTAGAATAATATTCAAGAGAGTTTGTCAGAGCAAGGATTAGTTTATCATTTATGTATTAAAATTAATTTAAGAATTGCAGGACGTTGCGGGCTGTCACCGGGTGAAATTATTTGCAAAGAAGGGACTGCGCTAAAAAGGTTTGTGTGACACTCTTCACAGTTTCACTACAGCTTAGCAAATAGTTAGCAAGTGGTTACAGAGTGCTAGCATCCACCAAAGTAATCCCGAGGAGGTTTTCGCTGCAGCGTCGTAAACCCTTAGATGACCAGTTTCACCTGGTGACAGTAAGCAACTTTCTGCTACCACTCTCCAACTGGTTGGGAAGAGATTTTTCACCTGCTGCCGGTGATTACCACAGGATCACAGACTAGTGTAGGCAAGCCTAACTGAGCGTTTAGGAACTGACTTCACAGCAACTGCCAGCAAACTTCAGCAACTGTTCAGAGAAAATACATTTTTCCCGAACAACTTGTGATTGCCAGGCAGTCACTAACTGGTCTCTAAGCCTGTGTGACTGGGACAGTGGTATATTACGTTTTAGCGTATGAGAGGTTGCAGTAGTGACAAAATAAAAAAAGGTTAGAAGTAAGAAAAACGTACGATTTAAAACCTTAAAAAAAAAAGTATGAATCCAAAACACTGACTAGCTTGTCACACTAAACGTATATTTTTGAATAATGCAATTCATTCATTCTTATACAGCAATGTGAATTACAGTGCAAGCAGTACAGCTGCTAGATACAGCCAACTATGGTGCCAAATGCAATCGCCTGTTCCAAGAAGTTTCAATCGTATTTATTAATATGGCTTCTTTTTCAGTTGGCTAAACTGAAGATGAGCTGAACCCTGACCCATGGGTGATGTCTGAGCACTAGCTACCACTGCACCAATGATGGTCTGAAAGTGCATATACAGCCATATTCTCACAGTAAAGCATCAACACAGATAGACATTCACTTACCAAGAAAAATCAGATGCAAATAAAGACAAAAGTATCATTAAAAAAAACAAAAATTAAAAAGTTCCTCTATACCCAAAACATTCACTTTATCCCTTCCTTTAAATCACTCAAACGTTTTCAGTCATCACACGGTTCTTTCATAAACATACTAGTTTTTTCTTAAAACGACTCATCAGTAGCAGTCTGTCACAGGACGTGGCTCATGTCCACCTCCAAAGCTCAACGGCCCAAGAAAAAGCAGAACGACGAACACTTGGTGCACAACAAAAGCAACATCGAAAGCAACATGAGTGTGGGACTTCACATCGTGTCTTTAATTATACAATTTCAGTATTTTACATTCCACGTGTGGACATATTCCTGCAGGGATTGTCGTCTTTCTCCACCAGAGAGTGCTAGCATGAGCCGTAGCAGGTTTCTGGGAGAGGGTGTGGGAAAGGAAGGAGAGGCATATGGAGGAAACACCCGGGGGGGTTGGAGTTGGAAGGATGTGGAAAGGTGGATGCAAGGATGAGAGCTTACGGATGTTTTCCCTGGGTAAGTAATAAAAACAGTAGTATTTGTTAGCTTTGTGCCAGGCTGCAGCTGCAGAGCTTAGCATCAAGTTCACATTTGAGTTTATTGTAAACGTAATATAACCCTTCCTTTGATCTCAGAGGCAGACAGAGAAAGCAAACTGTAGTGATGGTGTGGAAAACATGGAGACTGTTATTCTACAGCTTGATTGGGATGTCGGGACATCAAGCGGACGGAGGTAGCCTACCTCTGAGTGGCCTCAATTATGTCCAACAATGCTACACTGCCACAAGAACACGTGTTTTTGACTCTATGGCTCACACAGGTGAAGGAATTTTCCATTCTGCCTCGCCTGCATAAGTGCACCAACTACTTGAGCCATGTCCAAGCAGACAGAACAAATCAGTTCTTTTATTCTGATTTCTTAATGTAAAATGATTTTTTGGTTTCTTTGTCTTGTCACTGAAGCACTCCATGCTATTAGTAACAGAGCTGTCACGCAAAAAACATGCATGGCTAAGGTACGGTCCTGTGCAGCTACTTCTCATTAGAGTTTAAAAACCCAACTGCTGAGATCAGACTTAAAGAGCTACCTGGACATGTCTGCTATGTGATGATGACTGTGGAAGGTGGGAAGGATGGTTGCTGTCTCTCCACTATGCTGGTGCAGCTGATCACGGCTGAAGGCAGTGTGCTCTGTGGTGCTGGTGTGCTGTGTTTTTTTTCTCTTTTTAAAGGACAGGAAGAGGATTTCCCCAGTGATCATTTGGCTGAGAAGGAGAGAGAGGGTGAGAGAAAGAGAGCGACAGAGAGGCCATGCTGCCAGCTCCAATCTAAATCACGAAGTTGACCTCAGTCTCAGACTTGGGGGGGGATTCACCAAGAGGTTTGCAAAAAGCAAGTCAGCCATGAGTTGATGATCTCCACAAGGCATCTATAAAAATTATATGTATGCATCCACACAGGAAGTGCATCACTTTGAAGCTGAACGTTGGTGCTTAGCAGATGTTACCGATGGCCAACTAATATGGTAACCTTTGAATGTATTTACTGCAAATCATATGTCAATTACATTACCCTGTTATGCTTATTTAAAGCTCTGTTTCTTTATTACTTTAGCTGGTTCAAAAAACGTCCTTTGCTCGGTGTAACACTTTAGTTCATCCACTGCCTGAAACAAGCGATTCTACGCTCTCCTTCCCTCCCGATAAACAACTTGCTGTTTCTCTGGGATGAGCGACTTCTGACTCGCAGGATTACTTGTACATACACTCAACTCATTATTTGAAACTTCTCTGTTTAAACACAGTGACAGAATATAAGAAAACGCACATCAGGTCCAAAGTCTAACCCCAAGTCCAACGTATTAAAAACAACTGTACAGACATTGATTCTTGTGCTATATGAGCGGTCAGATTCACGATCTGATTGGAACTGGCAGCATAAACTCACCCACTGATAGCTCGAATGGCACATACAATAACTGTGTTGTGTTTGTGTATAAATATTTGCTCCTATATTGTGTATATTTGTACCACCTCTGTGAGGCACATGTACATGTGTGAATTAGAAAGCCAGCAGTACCCTGTCTGAGCCTTAGCCCGGTTGCAGCGTGGCTTTCATTCACAGTGATAGTGAGTGCAGTACAAACACAGCAGGTCTGGAGACGGCCGCTCTGACCTTGGACAGCTCAATCATCCTATTGCCGTGTGTGTGTGTGCGCAACTGTATCCCTGTATAAGCACGTTCTATTTAAATACCCTGCAACATAGATTGGTAACACAGAGTGGCAGCGTCGCGTCAGTCCTTGTTGGTTATATAAGATCATCAGGGAGGATATTGGGAATGCTACAGACTAGCAGGAAAGGGAAAGATTTAGGAGAGGTCATAGAGGAAAGAAGTTCAGGGCTGCTGAAGAATACAGGCATGGTTTTAGTGCAACAGAAAAAAAAAACCTGATAATCATTTGTAGAGGATGGCAGTGCGGGATATGGTTGGTGGAGATGGTCTCAGCAATGTTAAATTCATGATTTGAATTTCTGGGCCAGTGTTTTCCGTTTGTGCTTCAATGGCGAGGGAAGAATTCAGGGACGCATCGCCCGGTCCGTGTCTGCGTATGTTTGCTGGTGGCCTGAACTGCGTCACACTGCAACGGTCACACACACACTCGCCGTTTCCCTCGCTTCGGCCAGGACGAAAAGTCATATCCTCAGGCGGATTCTGCTGACTCAGTTGCTGTTTATTTACCTTCCAGTCACCACCCAGAAGAGTCTCTTGGGCTGATCCAACAGGGCTAAAAATCAACTGTGGTGCCAGTTTCCAGCTGTCACTGTGTCCTGACAGCTTCCTCCAAGTTCAATTGGCACACAGATCCAGATTCACAGATTCATGTCTGCAGTGTTGTCACTTTAGGTTCTTAAATAAAAATTAAAAATGACTCTTGATCCCAATTTTTTTGTGATAAAGTCTGAAAAAAAAAAAAAGGGGGGGGGGACTGAATTTCAGCTGTTGATCTCTGGCCCATGTAAAAGACACTCAGTGGGTCCATGCTTGCAAGTCCTTTGTGCACGGTGAGTACATATATCTGTATTTTTATATCTCTGTGCATGTTTATGTGTATGCGCTGCAGGTAGAGGGGGAGCTCCTTTTAAATGAGAGGTGAGGTAGAATCTGCCAGTTTCAGGCGGGACTTGAAATGGATACAGGCGATGGGGAGAAGCCTGAAGAGGTTTCCACAACCACCACCATGTGCTAGTGCTGAACCTAACACAAATCAGTGGAAAGCTGAGGGCGTGGACCATAGAGCAGGGGGATCCAATGGGATACTCAAACACTGACCCAAAGACACAGGAAGTGTGCACAACTCAGGAGGAGGAAGTGCTGATCACAAAACAACTGAGGTAATACATGTGATAATAACTAAATGGGTGGTTAATATGCATATGAGTATGTGAGGTAAAGACAACAGGAGGTATGTGTTGGAGAGGTATTCCAGCTGTGTATAAATATAAGCAGACGTCCTGTGTATGCTATATTTAGTATAAAAACAACGTCGCAATCAGCTTTTCTCTTCCTGGATGCTCAAGATGCCATGACTAAATCAGTGCTTTCTGAGGAACGGGGCTGGAGCTGGCCATTAGCCTTTCAGCAGCTAATTGCCAGTTCGGGTATAATGGAGGTAAAGATGATCCAAATCCACTGAATCCAATGAACAAGAAAAAAAAAGTATTATTTTTATTTTTTATTTTGGTAGATCATGAATGAAAAATACGTTTTAGAATAAATCTCCTTATAACTCCTTGCTGCTACTGTTGACATGGAAATGATAAAAACAACATCCTATAACTCCTGAAGAAGCAATAAAGTAATAGTGACTGATATTCTGGGAAACAGGATTTCTTTCTTTGCTTTCTTACTTTGGTAAAAATAACACAATTTCCAAATCTGTCCTTTAAAAAATAAACTACAGCCAATAAAAACACTAACTTAGCACAAAACAGGAAATAATAAAACATCTGGCTTTAAACATTCCAACAAACAACAACAACTAAGCTAAACATAAAAAAAAAAATCATCCACAGCCACCGCCGTGCTATGAATCCTGGGATAGGCTGGGCAACAAAGGATACACCCGACAAATCCTTCAAATCTGGGGAAAAGGAGGACGCATTTGTGGGCCGCATTTGGAGCAGCCCTCGAATTGGGACAGCCTTCATCGCCTGGCAGTGACGATGCTATGCTAGCATAGCTTAGCATAGCTTAACATAGCTATGCTAAGCTAAGCAGTCGCTAGCGTTAGCTTCAAATACAGCATAAGAATGGAATCAAACTTTATATTTAAGTCACAGCAAGAAAGAAAGTAAACCTGTTTCCAAGAATATCAAACCATGTCAGTAAACAAGGAGAATTTACTGCACAAAGATGGATATCAAATCCACTAAAGCAAAACGCTTAGTGATCACAGAAAGCACCGTGATGTTCATGACATCTTGTAACCTCTGATGCACTACAGTAATTAATACCTATGGGTTCAGTGTCCCAGGCATGGATTAAGCCCAGTTCCACACTTGAAGGAAAATTCAATGAAGATTTCAACTGAAAACAAAGTTTTTAGTGTTTTTTTAGACTGGGTTTAGTCTCTGCTCAGGAAACAGAGCGATACCATCTCGTGTCTGCAGTTATAAGACATATCTGTATATAAATAAGGGCTTCATACAAAGTTTTCTCACTGTAGCTTGCATATGGTTTGACTAAATATTACACGAGTCTGTGTTTTCTAATCAGAAAGGTAATATTGTTTGAGGTAATATTGTAGGGGTGTCTTTTGTGCATGTACACCATGTGCCTGTGTATACACGAAAGAGAGAGAGGTCAGTACGTGAGGGAGGTAGGTCAACAAAGACTCACGGGGCCTTGGCAGGTTGAGGGCTAGGCTGCGGACAGAGGATGACTTTGCAGTTAAGGAGATGCGAGGGAGGTGTAGGGATTGAAAGAGAAGCTAATGATCAGGTCCCAGAGATTAAAACAAAACAAAACAAAACAAAAAAAGCACTTATCTGAGGTGATAGGTGGCTGTGCAGCTAGTAGAAACATAACCAAGCCCCTCAGTTTGCATTAGTCAGGAGCAGTACAGCTGTGTATCCATGGGGGTGCAAAAAGAGGCAATGCAATTGTTTGCATATAAATATACTTTTTATGGTGTATGAATGTGTGAATAGCTATGTAAGTATTTACACTGCTTGTACTTTGTGTGTGTGCCTAGTGAGACTGATTGCATTCCTCTGATAATATTGATGTGTGCTTGCTGGTGGTGGATGTTGTAGTTGCTTGACAAATCAAAAAAACAAAACAAAACAAAAAAACACACACAAAGGGGCAACAAAAGAAATTTACAGAGTGTGTTCTCCATGAAGAGAAAAAAAAAATCCAGTTTTTCGTCCTCGCTTGTCCATCAGCCAAACTTCCTCTCAAAGCCACCACAAAAGTGTTCTTTCTGAGGGTGATGTACAGTTACACTTCCTGGTCCTCGAACACCTCCAGGAAGAGCGGGGGAAACAGTTCATTGGGACACTCGACCTTCATGTGAAGGAAACGGCTGGCGTGGCAAGCCCCGATCATGCGCAGGTCTGTCACCTTCATCAGCAGCTTGGGCCAAAAATGGGGAATGTTGTGCTTGCGGTAGTTTATATAGTGCTCGAACGCCAGAAGGTAAGCCTCTTGGCACTGCTCAATCTTCTCCACGCTGGTCAGCCCTGAACGGTCTGCAGGCAATAAAGAACAAAGGAACAATTACATGGGAAATGTGCCCTCCGCTGCCTGGTTCCTTTTAAAACAGGAGAAAGATTGCAAATTGAAATGCTGCATACATTTTTCTTGGAGAGGGCAGAATAAGTGATGTGACAGTGTGTACTGGAAACAGAGACTCTGAACAGAACATCGTATTTATATATAACTTCTATAAATGAAGCTGTTGGTTTATTGAAAGTAGTATAAAGGATTATTTTGATAGTCAACTAGTCACAGATTATTTTTGTGATTAGTCAACTAATCATGCATCCATTGGAGGTAAAACGTACAGCTTATTGCACCAGCAGCATCTGCTCTTATATAACTATCATTAGCTTACAGCTTTAAGTGTTTAAGGTATGTGCTAACTAAAAATAAAGACAAGATGATAGTTTATTGAACTTTTAATGAAATTTGCAGATTGTCTCGGTGGAGTTTAATAAACTCAGCCGTCTGCTCCTTGCTATCTAAAATATAACAGCAGACTGGAGTAAATTCTCTACCAAATTCTGTTTAATCATTTGTCTGCTTGACGTTTATTCAGCTGTGTAAAAACTATAACTTTAATCACAGCCAAACCGATTTACTCAGGAAAAAATAAAACACTGAAAAACGCCAAATAATAAAATTTTTAAGTCTGAAATGATGTGCAGGGAGTTTGCTGTTCTCGGCTCTAGTGACCCCGGTCAGCTATATATTTTTGCACATGTCGAGGAGCGTGTCAGGCTACATTTCACTGTGTGTTATACTTGTATAACTATGCATGTGACAAATAAAGAACCTTGAACCTTGAACCTATAGAGCTGAGGGTAACAAACGTTTCCGAAAACGTTGGAACACTTTTGCAAGTATATGATGTCTCGATAAACAGAGCAGATATTTGAAGTTTACACAGCTACATTCTCACCTGAAAATATCTTAAAAGTTTATTTTGTGACCCAGAAAGAGTAATCAGAGTATTATTAAAATAAATAGCTGCTACCATTGTTGCCAGCTGGAATTAGCTGGGCTGCGCTATGAATTCTGGGATAGGTTGGGCCACGAAGAATACACCCAACCAATCTTTCCATTCTGGGGATAAGGAGGACACATTTGTCGGCCACATTTGGAGGAGTCTTTGAATTTGGACATCCTTCGCCACACCACTGTGACGTAATCGGCCTCCGAAGGATGCGGCCCCTATTGTAGCACAGCTACAATACCGGACACGCATTCCTGCCATCTTCTGTTTCAGTCTGTTATAAAACTCTTAAATCCTACTACTTATTCCTGCGTCTTTCAGGATCTTGCAAAGCTTCAAACGACGCATCAACTATTAAAGTAGTTGTCAACGATTTTGATAGTCGACAAACCTAACTGAAAGTGGCAAAAGTGTGGCAGTTCAAACACTGGAACTGCGTGTTTGCAACCAGAGAATTAGCACCCATCAGCTACAAGGGAAAAAAGCCCAATATTCACAATTTGGAAAAAAGCTGCTGTGTTCAGTATCTTTTCCCCTAAAAATATCTCAAATGTACTCAGAAGCAAACACACCCTGACAGAATTCCAGCAGCAGCATGTCCATAAATAAGCTGCCTTAGGTCATCCTAGGTCTTGGAGAGATTCCAGGACCTTGAATGACCTGCAGGATCTGCTCTTCTGATCTGCAGTGATGCACAGTGCTTTGCTTTCCAACTATCAATCATGCCGATACTGTCTGTCCCTCCCTTGTAGTGTTGTTCAGATATTATTCTGAGTGTATCACTGCACACTAGTTACATCATTTCAACTATGAAACAGAGAATTAGAGATTTATGAGAAACTATTATTGCATTTTATTTTATAGCAGATGGTTTTGTGAATAAGCATCTAATATAATCAATGTTAAGGTTCAGTGTTGGGAAGGTTACTTTTAAAATGTATTCCATTACAGAATACAGATTACATGCCCCAAAATGTATTCTGTAACGTATTCCGTTACGTTACTCAATGAGAGTAACGTATTCTGAATACTTTGGATTACTTAATATATTATCGTGCTTTTTACAACAACGTGAATGTACTATTGCTGTGTGATTTATTACTATTACTGAAGGTCCGCGACTCCGAACTGTAGTAAAGGGACCTCTGACTAATAAGGCGGGGTCCCTGTCGGCTCGTAGCCGAAAAATAGCTTTACTTTGTTGTGTGGGTCAACTTTTCTTGCGAGAGACAGAGAGAGGCGTTGAAAGGCTGCTCCAACGGAACTTGTTGTTTTCGGAGGTTATTATTATATTTACATGCTTCCAGCTCCCGTTTTTCCTCGATGACAACTCGTACCTTTCCACTCCCCTTTTTCTCCCTCCTCGCTCACAGACCCATAACGTGTATGGCAGTGCATTCTCCCTGCAGCACGGACTACACTGCCCATGATGCTACATTCTTTAGAGCTATGCTTGTAGCATTCTGCCTGTTAGCTTAGCACAACAACAACAACAACAACAAAAAGGCGCTCTCTCACCCAGGAAACACACAGTCGCAGAGAGAGAGAGCGTCGCCCTGTAACCATGGCAACCGTAACGCTGCCGCCTGGAACAACAGACCGTAGCTGTCAAACAAAACCCAAACAGTCCTGACCCGCGACAACATGAAACAGGAAAGTACCGCAGTGTAATCCATTTATTTCAACAAAGTAACTGTATTCTGAATACCACCTTTTTAAACGGTAACTGTAACGGAATACAGTTACTCATATTTTGTATTTTAAATACGTAACGGCGGTACATGTATTCCGTTACTCCCCAACACTGTTAAGGTTGCATCTGGGTGTCTTTTACTTCACACTTTGAAGAAATCCACCTCAAGTGGGGCTTTGTGGCCCAGCTTCAGAGACAGTGACTGTCTAGGAATTAGGGCTGTGTGGTGATAGGATTAAAAGCAGATTAGACAAGATTATTCCCATTCAGGTTGTTTAGGGAGTGTGGGAATTTAGTTAATGTGTTTTTCCCTTTTCCATCAGTGTGCAAATAAAGCCGGTGTGATCAGCTTTATGTCTGTGGTTAAAGTCCGTCAAACTGTAGGTACCATGGTAGACTTTTAGCATTAGAGCAGAACTAAAACTACAGGGCCAGTCCCATGGTGGGGTTTTTTCCACTACAAATGATTGAAAAATGGGAAGCAAATAACTTCCTTACAAATATCTTTAAATGGCAATGAGCAAGCTCCACCTGCACCAGTGTAAGGACTGACCATGAACGCACTGGAAACTGCAAAGTTGCCTAATTGCCATCGTTCTGGGACACAAAAGAATGTTGTCAGAAAGTTCCTTACAGAGTGGAAGAACAGAAGTCTGCTATTCTTTCCAGCTATCTCCCGTTTAACGACTGAAAACAATTGAAAATGTGATTTCTGTCAGGAGGGCACTCTGCCCTTCTATGTAATTATATAGAGAGACTAAAGGAGAAGCAGCAGCAAGACCCACCACAGAAAACAACAGGCAGTCAACTCCATTATTTACAGTGCATGCAGAAAGTAAGTATTCCTGTTACTTGTTCCACATTTTGCCATGTTATGTACACCCTGTTTTCCCTGATCGTCTGTTAGATGTTTCTACAACTTGATTGGAGTCCACCTGTGGTAAAGTCAGTTGATTAAACATGATCTGAAAAGATCACAAACCAAGCCATGAAGTCCAAGGAATTATCTGAGACAAGATCGTATTGAGGCACAGATTTAGGGAAGGGTACAGAAAAATTTCAGAAGCATTGAAAGTCCCAATGAGCAAAGTGGCCTCGTCATCCATAAATAGAAAAAGTTTGGAACCACCAGGACTCTCCCTAGAGCTGGCCATTCGGCCAATCTGAGCGATCAGGGTAGAAGGGCCTTAGAGATGACCAAGAACCCAATGGTCGTTCAGCGTGACCACAGAGCTCCAGGATTGCTCTGTGGAGAGAGGAGGACCTTTCAGAAGGCCAACCATTTCTGCAGCTCTCCACCAATCAGGCGTGTATGGTTGAGTGGCCAGATGGAAGCCACTCTTCAGTAAAAGGCACATGACAGCCCGCCTGGAGGTTGACAAAAGACACCTCCAAGACAACGAGAAAATGCTCTCGTCTAATGAAACAAAGATTGAACTGTTTGGCCTGAACGCCAAGCATTGTGTTCGAGGAAACCCGGCGCCGCTCATCACCAATAGCATCCCCACAGTGAAGCATGGTGGTGGAAGCATCATGCTGTTGGGATGTTTTTGGCAGCAGGCAGAAAAAGATAAATGCTGCAATGTACAGAGACATCCTCGATGATAACCTGCTCCAGAGTCTCTGAACCTCAGACTTTCAACAGGACAATGACCCTGAGCACATAGCTTAGATAACAAAGGGGGGCTTTGGGACTACTATGTGAATGTCCTTGAGTGGCCCAATCAGAGTACAGACTTGAAGCTGACTGAAGATCTGTGGAGGGATCTGAAAATAGCTGTGCAGTGATCAGTGATACTCCCCATTTAATCTGATGGAGTTAGAGACACTCTGCAAAAGAAAATGCCCCAAAATGTGCTTAAACGAAGTACTGAACAAAGGCTGTGAATACTTATGTACATATTTTAGCTTTTTGTTTTTAATAATTTGCTAAATTAATCTGTAAAAAAGATAAAATGTGGAACATTTGAAGCACTAAATAATTTACACTAAAACTGTACAAGCAATACAAAAGAGCCAGGTGGAGTGGGGTTGCAAAGTGGCATGCAGAAGCATACAGCAACTATAATCCTGAGGTTGACTTCGTAGACGGTCAGAACCACCACACCTGAGATTTAACATCAAGTAATGTTATTAATGTTTTTTTAAACCTACCAAACCATAAAATTAAAAAAGAGAAGACAAATCAATCCTGCTATTATTGGCTGATTTGTACTCGTGAGTGGAGCAATTTCATTGTGTGATGTAGCAACAGTGACTTAGTTTCCAACATAGTGTCGCATTAATGTGAAAAAAAAATCATTGTTGTTTTGTTTTGAAACATGTTTCAGGGAAAAAGAAATTGTGTTCTTTCATAAGACCACAAAAGACAAAAAATCCTCACTTGTTGGTTCATATATGAATATATTTTCAGTGTAAAGATTGTGGTGGGAATACAACCTGAAATCTAACAAAACCAGTGTCGAATGACAAACATCACATCTTTTCTCTTAAACAGATTTTAGACGATGGTAACAATATTCGTTTTTCACCTGAGCTCATGAGCAGCACCGCCTGCATCAGCGCCACCTCCGAGTCATCCAGATTAAATTGTGCTAGACTCTTGCCCAGATCAAAGATGGCGTCCGACACCACGCCCAGCCCGCCGTTCTTCAGCTGCTCGCGTTTCACAGCCATCTCGCCGTTTAGAGTAAGAGTCTCGCTGTCGGGATCGTAGCGCACAGCAGCACGCAGTGACATGATCTCCATGCAGCAGCCTTTCAGCAGGATGATCTGGTCCTCACAAGGCAGCTGGGAAACAAGATTTGAGCTTGTCAGGAAATGAGACAATGCTGAACTTCAATCAGAAAAGTCTGTCCTGGAAGTCAACAGTTGTGTTTGTTTTCTAAACTATTGAGACATTGATGATATAATAGTAACTAAAAGCTAGCTAGCAACATTAAGCAATTTGTTACAAAAATAAAGTTACACCAACTGCAATGATCTTTTCAGTTTTTATTTACATTGACACAGTGTCCCGACTCTTTCACAATAACAAACAGAAACACACAGTGAAATGGATTAGGACTGCTTTTCCTCCACCCCATTATAAGAGTTGAAGGGTTATAATATTCTAGTCACAACAAGTCCTTTGCCAGGCTTTATGTAACCAGGAAGCCCCTACAATATACATGATGAGTGCACTCAGTTAGGTGGGAAGACATGCGATGGCACTTGCTCACAGATCGTTTGCACAGAGAGCAAAGCAATATCAGTAAGTGGTGAGTCACCACTTAATACAGAGAGAGAGGGAGACAGCGGTGGGGGTGTGGGGTGGATTAGTCGGTGTAATCCCAGCTGACACGCAGCAGGACAAAAGCTTCAGATGGAGGAAGTTCCCAATCAAAAGACCCAGCTTAGGTTAACGAGCTTGTTAGTGTTTTAACGGCGAGCTACGCTCACAGTCTGCCTTTAAACATTACCGTGAAACCAGAGTATGCACACGTGTAGTTTAGATAACAATGTTAAATCATTTATAGCCGTCTAAATTCAAAGTGGAAATCAGAATTTAAAGAAATGACAATAAAGAAACTCACAGTGTTAATTTCAGTAAAAGTGGAAGCTCGAGAGAGCGACACATTTTTAAAGCCGCTGGATTGAATTGTTCTTGTCTTTGAAGTAGACGGGCTATATTTAGGTACTGTGTGAGCTGACATTTTGGGAAAAGATATAAAAGACTGAAATGGGGGTTTGGAAACCTTTCCTGGGGCACAGAGTAAGAAATCAGACTGCTGCTGATGTTTCTCTTAAAACTTGTCTCTTACTGAATGCAGCATAAACTTAAACAATACTATCGCAGATTTTTAGAAGCCTCTTCAGTTAAATGTTGCACATTATTTACTGAGGTTCTTTAATCTGTACTGCTAACTGATCTTGTTACCCGACTTTCATGTTAAGAGTAATTTCTGTTGATGACAGCTGGGGTCACCCAAAAGTTCATGATATCCAAGCCAGAAGGCAACACACTGGGCCAGCTGAAGGAAAGTTAAGTTGAAGAGTTGCCATTGTGACACATTGGAGGAGATCCAGCATATAATGCAAAGGCACAACTGCAAGGGACAGAACGGGACTTCCAGGCAGTGATCTAGAAATAGCAGCAGAAGTGGAAGCAGTCCAGAGCTGCACGAGAACATGACCTTCACGGTAAAATGATTTTGATGGCAGGCAACAGTTTGATGGCACAGGTTGCCTGGTGGGAAGCGACCTGTCGGCAAACAAACGCAAACACGTTGCAGTCAATCGGAGGCAGGCTGTGCTGATGACTGCAACTCGTCTGCATCTCTTTTCAATAAGAGATTTGACTCAGCTGGTTGTATTCTGCTTATATTCCTACATAAAAGCAATACTGATAAGAGTCTATGTGATTTACTGTTAAATTGCAGTCTTGCAGCAAATATGTCACAATTTAAAGAGAAATATCTGATTTTTTTCTTTGATGAGGTTCTGTCTGGACTGGAATGTACGCCACTAATGTGAAATTTTGTGTAATTGAAACTTTTGTGTATATAAACAGCAACAGTTTTGCGATTATCCCAACTCTGTCATCACGAACAGATTGCATGCTAACTTAATCCTGTTCAGCTGCAAACTGATAGCAGACGAAATCCATCTTACAGCTAATGTTTCATATTAAAGATATCCACATAAAAAGCAGATTTGTTTTATTGTACTATAAATCTAGTCCTGTGTAAGCGGGATGTGAAGAAAAGTTCGAGTCTGTCTGGAGCACACACACAGCATCCAAGGCAGAGGATCCTGACTTGTGAAGTTATCACTGCATAAAAGGCGAGAGTGATCGGAAAGTTGGAAAACTGACGTGATGTGCAAGCAGAATCAAAGACTGAAGATAAATACAAAACAAAGAGTGATGTAAAGCCCCACGCATACCACATACCTCTGAAAACATGGGCAGTTTCTTGGCAAAGTCGACGACGCGAGTGATGGCAGGGGTCATTATCTTGGTGAACTCGCTGAAGACTTCCAGATCCACCTTATCTCCGTCTGAAGTGGGCATCATAGGACCCTGGCCAATATCATCGGGCTAGAAAGGAGACATTGTTCAACTATTAAATACCACAAGAAATATCTGCTGAATGAGGCGCTTAACGCCCGGCCTGTGGGTTGATTCTCTTTGCAGAGGAGGCGTATCAAAGAAGCTCAAGGAAAAATGGAGTCGGTTTAGGAGATTACAGCTTTAGAAGAACACGATGTAATATAAATGTAAATGCAGCATATACAATGTTACGTTATGATGTTACAAAACGGAAACAAATATTTAAAACTGCATGTTTCTGGTCTTTGATGCCAACTGTTCAGCGGTGTGTGCAAGATGCAAATCACATCACAGTCGTTGCATTGTTTTAGTTTAAGCACATGAATGTTCGCTCTTTTGTAATATGAGCACAATGCCTAAGAAATTATTTCCAGTTGCTGGCGAACGCTACATAAATAAAAGTGAGCTGAATCGAACTGTAACCTGAAGACTGTTAAAAACTTTAAAGCCGTCTTTACCTTCATGGAACTGTTGCCTGGTAACAAACATCTGACCTTTGCGTCAAGGTAACCTTTTGAGGTTTAAAGCACGTGCGCCTGCACGTTACACTGATCACATGGGACGCCACAGAGCAAGCTGGCCATGATGAAAAGGAGAGCTCTCAAAACGGCTTCTTTTGAAATGAAAAGAAGTCGCCTTCTTTTATGTTGATGTTTGATATCTGAAGTGGAACTGACTTTCAAGGCGCTGTTGAATTCTGGAATAACGAGCTACATGAAAGAAGGAAGGAGCTGTTGCGAGGACCAAACAGCAGCCCGATTCAAATGCCCAGATCTGTGTTATGTAATTTTTTTTGCAGTTTCTGCTGCGTTTTCATAATCTAAGATGATGCTTTATACTTTTTCCATCTCTGTTGCTGTATAATTTACATTTTTGCTTTCTATAATCTTCATATTTGTTATCTCTAAAGCACCTTGGGTGTGCAGGCAGTCATTATTGGACCGTTTGGAAGTTTTTTTTCCTGCACGGGATCCTTCTCGGTCACATTGAATAGATCTGTGTGTAATAAATACATTTTTGCATGACGCAAAAGAGCGATTGTTGGCAATTAAGGTACAAACGGCACCTCGGTTTCCTCCACGGGCTGTGTGCCACAGCCACGGCTGACACAGACGAACAGCGTGATGTAAAACTCTGCAAAGCTTTACATCACTTTTTACAGCAGTGTCATGTTCAGTTCTCTGAAAAGATTTCTATTCTAGTTTATGCAACAGTGCTCAGCCTAAAGGCGATGTCCACTCAACTAAAAGCCTACCAGGAATTTGCGCTTCTGTTTCCAGCTGGAGCCCTGGGCGTTGGTGTGCCGGTGGGCTTCGGTCACCATCCTGATCAGCTCCCACTCTGCGGTGTCTGGCTCTGGCCTCGTCTGTAGCATCCGCATCATTTCCTCTTTCTTCCTCTTCTCGCGATTCTCCTCGATCAGACGGCGCTTGGCCACGCGCTTTGAGTCATCCAACACCACTATCAGACAGGGACAGGGGCAGGAAGGACACAGTAACATGGAATTGTTCTTTTTTCTGTGGGAGATGAAAGCCTGCCAGTTTAGTCAAAAATAGGCACAGTGAACATGCATTATTGGACCGAGGAGCTCTGATACGTTTGTCTACAGCTGAGCTGGAAACCTTTCCAATGCAGTAGCTGTTGATCGTAGGTTTTACACTGAAAGGACTTTGCTAATAGGCTAATTATGCACTACGCCTGGATGACTCTTTCACCGAGTGCCTATAATCACAGCTCTCTTCCAACATGAGTACTCTGTGCACATTCAGAGTCAGTAATAATCAATCCCTTCCTGTAAGGACACGGGCTAAATCAGTTTTAGCAAACGTGTTCCAAACATGACAACAGAAGCGGAGAATAATCACAAATAGATGTTACTTCTGTTGCATAACACTTTGTAGTAAAATCCTATATATGCTGCTGTATAAAGGCACAAACAGCTTGCATACAAGGTTGCACAGATGATATCCTGGTTACGCACTCAGTGCTAATAAAAGCACCTACTTTTGTGTACACTGCCATCCTCGTGCTTGCAAGGAGCTCTGGTGACACTGAGTGTGTTTATCAGACGTGACTGAAGTCTCCTCCTCTGCTAATCCACTGCAGTAAATGGCTTACAAATTTAAAGCACTAATGCTGCTAAAGCAAATACTAAAACAAACATAAAGTAAATATGCTACAAATATTCTGAATGTGTGTGCGAGGTTTTTTTTAAACATCCTGGGAAAAACAAACCCTTCCCTAGATCCACACAAGCAGATGCACTTGCAAAGATGCTGATGAGCATGTGAGAGTTCCCCATTATTCATCACTCTAACTAGTTAGACTGCAACGTTGTGCAGAAATCTGTGTGAACACCCAGTAACACGTTTTTGGCAAATTTTGAAAGGGTGTACTGTTCATCTCAAATTAGAGTCCAGTACAAAGTTTTTATGTGAGAACAAAAGGCTCAGGCTACCCACGCATGCACGGGTTTCACGCTTCGATGCTCTTGCCTCTCACTTACTTTGAATGGGGCTGTGGATCCATCGTTCTGTTTTGTTTGTGATGAATATTTCCCTCTCTGTGCTTGAGGATAAGGATGACTGATTGTTGTAGTTGTATGCGAACAACGCTAGATGCCGATAGCTAGCTTAGCTCATGCTAATCAAAGCTCCGTTAGCTTGTTTTATGAAGGATTTTTACAGATGCTATAGATGATTATGCCAGCACAGCTTCAGGCACAGCTACTGCCAAACACTGTAACAATGTGCACTGCTCACGTGGGCCGAAAAAGATAAAGCCAACACAAAAGTAGCAAAAACTACTGCATAGCTTCACTTTACATAAAAATGACAGTGCATGATTTCTTTCTTCTTCTTCTGTTTTTTTAATCAATCCATCTGGATGCTGAGATTGGTGCAGGGGTTTGACAGGTGTCACAAATCAGGGAGCTAACTCTAGCCTCTGAACTGGACCTCTTCACCCTGTTTGTGCTCCTGCTGTCTTTTGGAACATTTTAGTGGAATTAACTGAGCAACAATTTGACTCTCTGTGAGGTAACACAGCGAACATTTTGATTTTGATGAGTAAAATTGTAGTATTTTTATCACTTTATTACTCAGCACTGGTTAGCAGCTATCAGCACTTGTACATTTGATGAATGCCCGTAGCTAAGCACACTTGCAGGCATTATCAGATTAACAACTAATCACCTTCTCTTCTAAATAGAGTAACTTCTGGCTCTAAAAGTCCAACACAGCAGATAAAACTGAGAAGTTACAATCAACTAGCACCGTAACTGCCAGACACAATCTATTTTACTTTTTTACTTCTATGTGAAATATTTATTTTTACTAGTTACTAGTTGTAATTTTTTTGTTTTACTTTTCTGTTGTGCTTTCTAGTGTGAGTTACTTTCTCTGCACAGCACCTTCAATCTGCCTTTGTGTAAGAAGGCTGCTTTTTAAATAAATGAACCTCGGTGAACTAAAAATCATTACCTTTTCTCTAAAATCTATGACGAGCTTAAAAACAAACAAAAAAAAACTCACAGTCCATGGCCATGCCCACAGCAATGCACTTCTTGAAGCGGCACAGCTGGCACTGGTTGCGGGTGATCTTGTCGATGATGCAGCAACCATCGTACTTACAGGAGTAGGCCGGGTGGAGGTTCTTCTGAATGGTCCTACGAAAAAAACCCTGAGGAGAAGGAAAGGGGAACAGGTGTCTTCCTGTTAAAAGGGAGTTTTTTCTTCCCACTTTCACCAAAGTGCTTGCTCATAGGGAGTCAATATGATTGTTGGGTTTTTCTCTGCATGTATTATTGTAGTTTCTACCTTACAGCATAAAGCGCCTTAAGGTGACTGTTGCTGTTATTGGGGCTGTATAAATAAAAATGAATTGAACTGTTGTGAAAATTAAATCCACCAATTAAATGTTCTTGTGTTCTGATTACAATAAAACAAGTTCATTAAATGAGTCACATCACAAGGCATGTTGGTGACTGTGAGCCAAGATCCTGCTTGCCAAAAATCGTGAAGTAATAAACTGATGGCATGACTGAACATCTCTCGCAAGCTTTACACGAGACGGTTCGATTGGAATAACACAGCAGACGTGGTTTACAAAGACCTGGTTTGAACCAAAAGTGGAGCGAGGTAGGAAGTGTTACTCTGTTATTTGAAAGTTAAGTGAATACGAAACAAGTGTTTCTGCCTGAGGAAACACATTTAAATTTAAATGTTGCTTCCCTGTGAGTGTGTTATATTGAGAATAACTGCAGCCAGTTTGAGGGGCTGCTGCCAGTCCTCAGATAATAGATCAGTTCTCAGCACCTCTGTGCCAGCCATCAAGGAGTCTGCTGGCAACTCACTAATGTACAGTATGGCACATATCACTGTATTTGACACAGGAGATTGATCAATCAATCAATCAATCAATCAATCAATCAAAGCTTTATTCGTCACATGCAGGTTGCCCTGCAGTGAAATAGGACCCCCCCCGACCTTACACATATAGCACAAACATTACATGGGGATACAGGTCAGAGATTGGTAGAATCAGAAAAAAACATTGAAATGTACACTACACTGGGGAAAGTACAAGAGGAAAAAAAGAGACCCCTACTCATGCTATGCTTCCATGGTAGGACAGCATGAGAACAGGAAACAAAAAAACTCCTCTGCACAAGAAGCACATAAATGTCCACAGCACAACATTGTGAAGACATGACAAGCTACAGGGGTGGGTGGGGGTTGAGGAGTAATCCGAAGCGAACACAGCAGCCACCCTGCACAGCGCTACCATTCCAGCGCGGCACACAGACCCGCCGTGCTGCCCCTTCAGGAAACAAGCATCGAAGGCGTTTGGAAGGGAGGGGGGATGAGTGCTTCCTTTAGTGATTTTTCCCCTGAATATCAAACTGCTAAACACCTGGATTCTAAACATCATAAAAGGCTGTTTTTCTGTAGCCCACAAATCAAAAGGGACAAATAAAGACGCTATCAGACGTGTCAGACATGAGGCCCGATCACAGAATGGAAGGAACCAATCTTTCCACTCTTTGGCTGTGCTTTGTAAAATTGCAGTGCACAGGGGGATGGGGCTTTTTACTCTTGTTTTGTGCTGAGAAACTCATTTTTTTAAACAACATTTAGAGTATTTAAGGTGGAACTGTTAATTTCCTGTGTGTGAATCCTTGTTTTACAGCCTTCTTACTATCAAAGAGCCGGCTGCTTTGAGTGAATGTGAAACTGCACTTATTTTTCTAAACACGTGTCAGATTGCTCATCTGCTCATGTGGAAAGGGTTTATAAATATGAGCATTTTCAAAAACCACTTGTTTACATTAGAAGAAAACTTGGCGTAGCTTATGAGGCAGTGGTGTTACTGGTCCATTCTACTTCACATCAAACTCAACTTTAATTGGTTTTATGAACTGAGACCAGTCTGACAGCACTGATGTGAACTGTAGTGACAGATTTTCAGTCAAACTCACCTACTGTGTATATTAGGACACCAAATGCGTTTTCATCTTGGGCTGCAATCAGTCCCAAACAAAGTCGTCATTCTTACTCATGCTGGGAGTACAGCAACTGTGGTACCAAACAGACTAAATAAAGACTAAAGTGATTTCCTTTAAATAGTAAAAACTGAATATTTTTAAACCAGTCATGCTGCCCAGTCACATGAGGATCGTTAACAACCTAAATTGTGTAGGATGGATTGTGGCGTGATCAGAAAGTAACAAAGAGTCTATTGCTACTGAAATTGCATGAATGCTTGTTAACATGGTTCAAAGGTTGCATAATACTCAAATTATAGCAACACTGCAGGGGCGTTTGGGAGCTATGTAACTGCTGTATGCTATCCTGAGAAAAAGCTCCTCTCCACTGCAGAGCATCTATTCAGCTCTCTGACTACATACATATTGTAGCTGCACAGAATGAGCTCATCTTCATCTACACAACAACACAGCTCTGCATCAGTACGAGTGAAAGAAATGGTGTAAGATATTACTGAGGTGGATTAATACAAAGCATTAAGAATGAGACAGCCTGAACATACTAAAATCTGAGGCTGGAGAATGAATTTTGATGGTAGCTTTCAGCTCGGCTCCGGATTGAACAAAAGACTCCTGAGGGAACTAGCTAACCTCGTCAGAATAATTCAGTTAGCTGCGAAAATACATTGAGCTCACAATGGTTCTTTCTTACTGATCCTTCAGTGTTTCCTAAAGAAGTAAATGCAATTTTTATGTATAGAGTGAGGTGGGAGTGGAGGCACATGCAGGTGAAAGGAAACATAATCAGGAGGAGTAATCATAGCTGCCACGTCAGGGAGCCGACGGACTTTTGTACCATTTTCCTCCGCAGCTTCAATTAGCTTGGCGTAGGGACACATGATTTTGGTTTATGCAGACTCTCATGTTTACCCTACAGAGGCGGCGGGAGCCTATGGCGCTGGAGTTGGAGTCTGTCCAAGACAAGAGACGTCCTGGAGAAACAGCTGAATGTCATCATAACAGTGAACAAGTCAGTTGCTGGTAGGGCAACAGAAGACATGACGGGCTGGGGCTAGCTCGTTAGCAGTGAAAGAACTTACAAATCACACTGTTCACTATCTGCAAAAGTACTAAAGTACAGCACAAATGATACCTGGGCAGCCCACCCAACTTCACGTTTATGTGTTTCGAACACTGAGCTTTTTCACGCTTAACTATTCAGCTACCTGTAGCTCTTTGAAATCAGTTTACAAGACAGTGTGCTACCTTTAAGATTAGGCTTACACCTTCCATTTTTGATAAAACTTATCGCTATGGCCTGAATCTTTCTTGCTTATGCTCCAACAGGCCAGGCCGCTGTGGGCTTTCCATGAAACACTTTTTTCATTCACTCTTTTCACTCTCCACATGTTTATACAGTTTGCACTCTGTGTTTAGTCATTAGATCTTCTTCCTCAGTGTGTCTTTTGTCCTGCCTTTCTGCCCTGAACCCATTCCTTCTTGAAGATTCTTCCTGTTAAAACAGAGTTTTTCCTTCCCACTCTTGCCAGGTGCTTGCTCATAGGGGGTTGTGTGATTATTGAGGTTTTCTTTCGATTATATTAAGTCTTTACCTTACAATATAAACTGCCTTGAGATGACTGTTGTTCTGACTTGGTGATATATAGATAACAAAGAATTGAAGTAACTGCTTTCAGATTTATAAGTTCCTTTGTGGTGATGTTAACTGTCATTTTAGAGCTGGATCAGCCACCTCTACCTCCTGCCAGAGCTGTCAGAGTGTATAATACATGACAAACTAATATCTGCACCATGTTGATACAACAGAGGTGTTATGTACCTTGCAGCCCTCACAGGTGATGCAGCGGTAGTGGTACCCAGTCGCCTTGTCCCCACACACTACACATGGCTCGTCCTTCTCCAGGTAGCTGGGGATGTACCCTGGAACAGAGACGCTAAGAGCTATAGGAGAGGAAGAGGAGGTCGAAAAGGAAGATAGGATGGAATGAGAGATGGGTGAAGGAGTGCGAACAAGGGAGTACAAGCAAGATGGATGGTGAGGCGTGATGACGTAAGGGCAAGAGTGATAAAGGAAGATCAGGATGAATGGGGTCAGAGGGAGGAAGAGAAGAAGAGGAGAAGTAGTGATGAGGAGGAGTGGAGAAGGAAAGGAGGGGCGAGGATGAGTGTTATCACAGGGGCCTCAATGAAAGACCTGCATACATGGCCCCTACAGACTGTGATACCAGATGAAACATATACACAGTTGCAAGAATAAGACAGTATACCAATAACATGTGAGTTTTGAAGTCAGACGATTAAACTTCATCTTAGTCACAATTACAGACAACACAACCTGATTATTGCCAAGACTTGCACATCAAGATGAGAGAGAGTTCAGTTCATCGATATTTCTTCTCATCACACAGCAAGCTCCATCTCAAAGGTCAGAATTCTGATTTGATCATTCCAAAACCAGATGCTGTAGAGTGCAGTGAGGAATGCCCAGGAATGGCCAACTCTCTGCCATCTATAATCCAGTTTTGAGATCCCTCCCCAGACGCCTTAACGCCCACTCACATCCTGGGCCATCTGACCTCAGGAATTCGCATGATAAGGTGGGGCCAGGTTTCACAATGAACACACCCGAAACTCTGGCTGATTGGGACCCACGCCCAGTTTCCCACCTTGGCTCAGGCGATTAGAGGATCATCAGGGGGTCCTTTTGTCCCTCTGTGGGGGGAAACTCCCACTAGGTTTAAATCTGGGACTCTCCACCATTTGACCTTAGAACTGAAGAAGCTTCTCGGATGAGAGGTGAAACGTCTTCAAGCAACTTAAAGAAGTCCAGACGCTTTTCTTTGCAAGCTCCTTTGACTACGATGACCTGGATGACTGAGAACCTTCACAGACATCCAAAACCAGAGTTTTCCTCTTTTTCAGCCATTCTGATATTTGTTCACTTGTGTGCTTTAGGATCAGAAGCTTCATTCTCCTATAATCTTATATGTTTTGACACAATTCTGAATTCCCATATCCCTCAATGACTGCAAGGATCCTGGCCTTGAGGAAATCAACTCTAAGCCACAATGCTACTTCCACCACACTTCACGGTGGGGATGATGTTTTGGTGCAGTACCTTTTCAGTGTCAGGCAAAAGCTCAGATTTTGTCTCTTCACGTTACGTGCTTTTTCATGAACAAAGACTAAAGCTAAGTGTAGGGATTTCTGCAAACATTTTACTCCAAACGCTGGGTTCTTTCCAATCTGCCAGGACTGCATGTTGTGTTCTTGGTGTCCTGAACTTTGCTCCATTTGTGGGCAGTTTGCCTATCCATGGACTGATGTACAGCCAAGTCTTGTTTTTGTAGCCTTTGCCAGCTTCATACCTCTTTCAAGGTCGTCTAAAAGTTTTGAGCAATAATTGAGGAAGAGTTCACACCAGCCAGCCTTTTTTTAAAGATGATAAGACTAGTAAACAGATTTTTTATGGCTTTACTAATAGGGGGAGGGGGGCTCTATAACCAACAATTGCAGTCTCCTTAATAGGAGCACCTCACTCCCAGAACCTTTTGGAGAAATCACTCGCACAAAGTTTTTCTTCCCTGCTTTTGTCTGTAAATGTGACTTAGACTTAAGGTCAAAGATTAAGAGTGGAAAGCCGGTTAATTAAATCCTTGTATAACAACCTTTTTCTTGCAACTTTAAGACAGGCCGTCTTCCCCACAGACTCCGATATCATGCCAGCTTATAAGGTTTACACTCACATTCCCAGAATTCATGAAATATGCTTTTCATCTTCACATTTCATTGACTAATTTATTTCTCTTCAGAAGTTTCCTTGAACTCTTTGATCCTCTGAAGTCACACAATATGAATATATGTAACGTACATAAGAATTCTAACCTCTAAGCTGTCATGTAGTTGCACAAGGACCACCAACCACCCAAAGCACAGGTGCAAACAATAACCCACATGTACAGACGCTGCTGGAAATCACAAAAGTAAAGTCTGCTCCACAGGGAGCATACTTCTTCAGTCAATCCTCTTGTACTACTGAAGCGAAGAAGGAAAAAAAGTAGATCCATTCTGATTCTGTATAATTTCATGCGATAATGTATAATAAACATATAAAAGTGAACGAACAATGCTGTTCCTGAGTCAAGTGGTTTACAAGAAGTCTTTGCATCTTCATCACAGACGGGATTTGCAACATAGCTTTGGTCGTGATGTAACAGTTATCTTGTACAAGACCTACCAACTAATTGGTGACTGGCAACCATTGGGATCTCGGGAAAAAGTGTATTTCCTGACAGTGATGCATCCAAAAATTCCTTGTGACTGTTTTGGTCGTTAGCAGACTAGCACACTCAACTACGGATTCTGTGGAAAATGTTAAATTGTCTGAAACCACACGCAACTACTGTGAAAAGTGTGGCCCAAACCTTTAGCCATCAAGTAAAAGTTGGATCTTTTGAAATGCACTGGTTCCAGCATTAAGGCCCACCTTGTATTAAATGTGAACGTTCCAGTTTTAGTGCGCAGGAAGAGCCCAATTAAAGACATGTCTAGGTTCAAAGACTGTTGTGATTTTGCAATTTCAATACATACAATTCATAATCCAGATTTGTAATTAAGCACCCCTACACCACAAGCTACCACTATGGAAAACACTACATTTGCCCCGATTAATTTGGCTCGACGATATCTGAGGCTAGCATATTAAATCAGGAAAAAAAAAAAATCATGAACAAAATACAAAGTTTACAGGTAGAAATAAATGCTGATTCTGTTTATTTATCCATAACATGAATAATGATTATTGCATACATCTATTTCTTTTCTGATATAATCCATTAAAGATTAGTCCTGAACATTCATAGACCTGCCTAACCAATCCCCCTTGGTTAGCTGATTTGTGTTCAACAAGGCCTCTGAGGGAAACTATACAATGGTGACGAGGAATAATCATATTCCTGACAATAAGGACACCACTGAAAACCCAGGGGAGCTGCCGAGTCACGGATTTAAACCAATCACTGGCCGAATCCAGCAGTACATCAAAAGACATCGTCTTAGAGGAAATATGCTTTGAATTGTGTTCACTTCCATGTGGGGGGTGACACAAACAACACGAGTGAGGCAGAGATAATGAAGTTAGTTACCGGACATGCTCTTCACTGAGCACTGGCTGTTCTTTCTCTTCCTTTTCGGCACATCTGGCCATCTGGGAGGGTGGAGGAGAAGAGGGTGGAAGGGAAAAAAGACATAAGTGATTAAAAAAAGATAACATTATAGCAGCTTCAGGAAAAAGATCATTAATAAGATTTCTTTTTCCAAGTCAGATAATGCAAAGACAGTTTCTGTTTTGTTTTTTTTGGTAATTAACTACATTAAAAAAGACATAAGATAACACTGCTAGAAAAACTGGTAGAGAAACGTGGAAACTATGCTGCATTTTAGATATTTAAAGGAATCCTCTCCATAAATATGTTGGTCTGCAGTCATAGCACAGACTTACATTTTACATTTGGTTTGCTGGGTAACCAGTCTGACACTTGACATTATATAAGAGCTGTTAGTTTGCTATGAAAATGTTTTTAATTTCTAAAGATCTACTCGTCAAGGTTGTCACTTGTCTCAGACTCTTTTCGCTCTTTACATTGAACCTTTAGCACAGGCAATAAGAGAAAATAATAGTATTCATGGGGTCGTAGTTAATTCAAGAGAACACAAAATAGCTGATGATGTCCTTTTGTACTTGCCGAATGTACTGACCCCCCTGTTCTGGTCGACTGGTTGAGCGTTGTTGAGGAGATTCATAAAATGGAAAAACTTACCTTTTTGTTAAGGCTGCAAGCTAATATTTATACCACGAGATGGGACAAGTGGTTGAAATATATCCGAAATTAGAATTTTTTTTCTTCCTTTCTCCTGTTTGTGCCTACCCACATCTATATAAACTCTTGCATGCCTCTCCGAGGCTGCTCTTACATCTGTATATGTGCTGTCAATTCATGGATATAAAGTCATGTTCTCACTGCCAGAATTGCTTTGTGGGAAAAAGCTGTGCTTTTCAGTCGACTGCTTGTTTTCTTATTGTTGTTTTTGGTTGTTTGTTGTTTTCCTTTTCTGTTAAAATACGTAAAACCTTTATTAAAAGTGTCTCCTTGTCTTGCTTGTTTTGAAATATGTTCAACACGTGGTCCCAAAATGAGTTCCTGTGATAAATTTGCTAAAGTCATGGTTGAGCGTGGTGCTAATTAGCAATCCAAACCACCACAATATGCATGGTAAACAAATACAGCACAGTCTCTTCAAACGCCACTTCAGCCTCGTCTATGGTTACAGCAGAAACAGGCTGGTATATTTGAATCTTGTTATTTCGCTGCACTATTGAGTTTGTTCTGCAAATAGACTTTGGTTTGAGCCCATTTCCTTTTTGTTGCTAGGCAAAATTCTTACCTTGTTTAACCTTACTTGACGAACTATGCTACCCAAGCTAGCTTGAGTAGTGTTAGTCGATAATGGCACAGATCAAACACTTGACCATACACGGTAATGACCGGTTTAAAAACAAACAAATAAAACGATAGAATAAGAACAGGATAGTTTACAAATTACCGAGTGTTGTCGCGTCATTTATGGCGGGCTCTAATGTCAGTTTGTACTGCAAGCATTCTGCACATGTTAGCATACTATGAATGGCTGGATGGACAAATGAACTGATAGGCAACAAAGTTTAACTTCCAACACTTTTGGGGGATTACTGACAAACTCTGGTCACGGATTCAAAACTGAATCATACCAATGCTTCCCATGCATGGAAATGAAGGCCACTCCACTATCCTCTCCACTTAAAGACTGCACATGCACCATTCATCCCCACCTTCTGTCGCTTTCTATAATTTTGTATCCTTCTCCTTTATCACGCTCACATGACAAATTCTGTTATTTGCAGCAGATTTGGATTACCACACTCTCTCCATCTCCCCCTCCCTTCCCCCCCATCTATCCACATGTTTGGCTGTTTGCTCCACACCCCTCGCATTCCCATTTTCTCTGTCTCTTTAAAAGCTCTCTCTCCAAACCACTGTCACTTTGTCGGCTCACAGCTACTGCTATATTCCCTCGATCCTCCCAGTGATTTCTGTCTTTCCCTCCGCCCCACCTCTTTCCTCTTCTCCTCCCTCAACTTCCATCAACACTATTAGGTAACACCACTGTCGTCCCTCCTTCCCCCTGCTCACTGGCTGTCAAATCCACTTTGCTCTTCCAACCTAAAAAAAAGAAAAGAAAAAAAATCCTCTGACGTCTCTTTTTCAGTTCTTGCTGCTCTTCACGGTCCATGAAACATATTATCTTTAAAACAGTGCACATGGTGAGGCAGTAACATGGTGGGAAACTGCCTGCTCTGGTAGCTGATCAATGTAAACTGAACTGGAGTTTATGTCAGTGTTGACAGCTCTTGTATACATTTTCTACAATGTGAAGGAATAACTCAAATGTGCAAGTTAGTGAGGTTTGGAAAAATTTCCAGAGAATGATTTAGCGCTACTTGAAATCCAAATCCAACTTAAAAAAAAATGACAATCCACAGGGGAGAGGAAGTTTACGTCTTTTGAAAACTGCAATCAGAATCAGAATCAGAATCAGAATGGGTTTATTGCCAGATGTTGAGGTTTACAACATTAGGAAATTGCTGCGGTGCTTCAGTGCAGACAATAAGAATTAAAGTGCTATGTAGAAAGAAAGATATGTGCATGAGATATACATGAGATATATACATGAGAATAAGAATTATGAGTGCTACGTAGAAAGATATATACATGAGTGCAGGTGGTGATCAGTGCCAAACATGAAATGATGCAGTGACACAGCGTAGGGTCATGTGTTAGTGGCGGGGACAATCATGTGGTTATTGTTCATGTGTCCAACAGCAGAGGGGAAGAAACTGTTCTTATGGCGAGAGGTTCTGGTGCGAATGGACCGGAGCCTCCTGCCTGAGGGGAGCAGGTCAAACAGACTGTGTCCAGGGTGAGAAGGGTCAGCTGAGATCCGAGCTGCACGCCGCAGTGTCCTGGAGGTGTACAGGTCCTGCAGAGATGGGAGTCTGCAGCCAATCACCTTCTCAGCAGAGCGCACAACACGCTGCAGTCTCTGTTTGTCCCTGATAGTGGCTCCAGCGTACCACACGGTGATGGAGGAGGTGAGGATGGACTCGATGATTGCGGTGTAGAATTGCATCATCGTCCGTGTTGGCAGGTTGAATTTCTTCAGCTGCCTCAGGAAGTACATCCTCTGCTGGGCTTTCTTGATGACGGAGGTGATGGTGGGCTCCCACTTCAGGTCCTGGGTGATGGTGGTACCCAGGAAGCGGAATGAGTCCACAGAGGTGATGGGGGTGTCAGTCAGGATGATGGGGGGGAGTGGGGCTGTGTGCTTCCTGAAGTCCACAATAATCTCCACTGTCTTCATAAAGCTGCAACCATTTATTCCTGACCGCTATGGGGGCAGCAGAACAGAACAGGCTGAAGACGTCCAGCCCTCAGTGGTCTCCATGGTGGTTATAGAGAAGAAGGGTGAACAATTACAGTTTTGTATTTATACATATATTTTTTAGCAAGTTGTTGTGGTGTCTGCCATTTATCAATGAGAAAAACCTGATATGTTGTGAATCTCAGTAAGCTGCAAATCTATGCAAAAGGCGACTGCTAGAGCAAACAATCAGTCATATATGACAATTATCAGAGCACAAATCTTTGCGTTTGATTTGTGTACCAAAATCATTCTTAATATCTACTTTCATACCAAACCAATGTGTCCTTAAACATAAACCCGTTAATGAGTTTGTTTGAATGCCTGACAGGATGGTAGCAGGATGTTACTTTGAAATGGGAACATTTATTTTGTTGCCAGACAAACCGGTAACACGCATTTTTGGATAATTTTAGGATAAAAAGAAATGCACAGATCATTTTACATGTTGAGCTGAAACTCAGTCAGCTTGAGTCCTTACAATGGATCTCTTGCAGGTGCGTCACTGAATTGAAAATGAGCCTTAATTGCTCTGAAAAGCAGGGCAGCATTTTTGCATATTGTCTTTTGCATATCAAATATCACCATACCCAACTTTGACTGCCATTCTTATCAAAGAGTTGGGACAGAGATACTGCGACAGTTGGACTAGCCCATCTTCCAATGACAGTAGTTTTCACTGTGTGTGGGTGTACACAACTTTCTTATAGATGTCCCCTGGAGTTCTGAGGATTTTCTGCCCTGGCTTTTGGTCTCAAAACGGATTGTAATGATCGGTTCTTGTGACACCCTTAATGAGCTTGTTTAAACCATTACCATCTTCGTTAGATTTTAAACACTATAACTACCTAATTAATTAATTGATAACTTTGTGAGTTAGTTGAACAAGCAGTCTTAGGCTGATTTGTTAATGTTACTACTCTTGTAACAAGCTACTTGGCATCCATGCTACGGCAGCTTTAAATAGAACCTTTGCCTTAATGAGATTCCCTTTGACAAAGAAATAAATAGAAACTATCCAAAGTGCATTTCTGTTAAAATATAACATACATTTTGTGAAAATGGAAACAATTATGTGGTTGCAAAGACAGACACAGGAGCTGGTCTAGAGCTCTGTCCTGGGGCATCAGTTGAATGATCTGGATGTGGTACATGCACTCACAACAGATTTATTGTTAAACTAGCAAGGCTTACAGAATCACTAACATCCTTTCAGATTTCAGACATTTCATCAGATGAAAGTAAATTAATGCAATCATCCCTTGGAAATCAAATTTCTGGACTACTGTTATGAATTTGTGACTAATAAACTGGTTTACAGATAGCAAAGACCATAAACAGGACTCAACACACACAGACATCTCATACTTAATCTGTTATGAGCATGTGACAGGGGGCACAGATGCCAGCAGAGCACACACCCACTTCCAACAGACATACACGCAATCGCAGAGAAATGCACTCCCGCAATCACACCAACCTGTTGATGCAGTACGGCTGTAAGATATGCATGTTGCTCCTTTTGAAGGAATATCAGCAGGAGATGATGCAGCCCAGCAGCACCGTCTGCTGATCCAGCCTCCCAGGAAGTTACTGCACGTGTCCCACTCAGCCTGGTTCACATGAACACAAGCTCTGTTTGCAGACCTCAAATCCCCGACTATAAGCCTCCCACTGAACTCAGCAACG